TTACATAAGAATAGTAGTTTTTAATATCTCAAAATTCTCCAAACCAATTCCTCCAAAAAGGGTTATCTTTAGAATTAATATTTGTATTTAGTTATAGTTACTATCTTTACATTTAACACTTGCATTTAGGAGTATTTGCTAGATAAAATATCATTTTAATCGACATTCCAAACTAATGACTAATTTTGGTAGACTAGGATTTGACAAAGGACCTCTTACCTCGCTTCCCTGTGGGATCGATAAACGGGACTCCACTAGAGCCCTGTATTACTTGAGTGATACGTATACTTGCGTTTGAAATTGTGACTTTACAAAATCATTATAAATATATAAATCTTAGTTCATAAATTCTTTCATATTAAAAGTTGCATCAAGTTTTTGACGCCGTTGCCGGGGATTTAAATCTTCTAGCAGCGGTATCAAATTCTTGTATTTTTAAGCATATATAAAGTCGTTGTCACTGACCCATAAACCATTGTCGCTACAACCCTCTACCTCTGGCCACTGTTAACCTTCTCTGTTGGCCTCCAGTAGTTGACATAAATAATTCCATTATATATGAATGCAATGGGATCGGACTTGGGTCACAGGGAGAGGGTTAGTCTCATGTCAACTCAGCTACAATTATTTCTTTAATATGTGTGTGTGCTTCTCTCTCTCTCTCTCTCTCTCTCTTTCTCTCTCTCTCTCTATATATATATATGAATTTATCTTTTCTCGAAAATAGAGGCCTACTAATACTCTATCAATAAATGTTCATTATTCTGCACATATCTCGAGGAGTGACACGAATCTCATGACAATGTTTTGAGTAAGGAAAGTTCAAAATTCATTCTTAACTCCATTTTCTTAGAACTTATAGTCAAACTGACCGACTCAACAAGATGAATGCAATCACATCAATGTCGACCCAATCCGAGTCAAATCAGGCCCAAATTTAGCCATTAAAACATTTTTTAAAGCTTCTGTTGTTTAATTGAAGGCTCAAACATATTTTAAATCTAATAATCTTATAGAAAAAAATGAGTGTGCCAACAAGCCCAAGATCACTTAATTCTGACATCATTAAGACACACAAATACCCATGAAACACCACTCGATTGAGGGAATCTCTCTAGTCCATCTAATTGAGTAGTCTGAATTCTTTCTTTATTTATAGGAGTATCTTTCCTAAACTTTATAAATAGAGCCCTACCTCCTTTAATATGAGGGACTTAAACCTTGAACCAGTGGAAACCCAGAGCTTAGAGAAGGAGTTGTGGTCTAGTATTCTACACCAAAGGTCCATGTATTCAACCGGCTCTTGTAGCCATTGAAAAACAATCGACCACTGCTCGTTGTCCACCATAGACCACCATCAGCCGCCCCATGCTCTCTGCAATAAACCCCTTACAGAATAGAACGTACATTGCAGAATTTTGACATGTATTACGGAGTAACAAAGCTCTCAACAGAGCAGTGCATCATCCTAAAGAACGTGCATCAACACATGCATCCCAAAGACGGTGTAATAATATACCCTAAAATTGGTTCATCAATGCCCCCACATAAAGGGTAACAATACACTTCAGAGACAATGCAATGAAGCACCCCAAGGATGATGTAACGACACCCCCAAAGATGATGTAACGACACACCCCACATATGGTGACTTTCTTCGGACTACTGAAGTTGTCTCCTCACAACTCCCTAAAACTGTCTTGCCTCAACCCATTTACTGTCAGCACTATTCCAATACATTCGTTTAATCAGAAATGCTTTTTACCACTTGCATAAGTTCATATGACATAATTACCTAAAAAGCTAGCTACAATTGATGCTTCAAACAAGGATTATTGAGTATAACATACAAAATTAGTATTATGACACCTATGTTAACTTGGTGATGCCTTAAAAGTACAATTGGTGAGCATAACTAGTTAAATGAATAACAATTATCTTATGATACCTAAATTTATTTTTGGCAGTTAAAGATGCAATTAGCTCTTAAATTCATTAATTATTTATTAAGTTTAAGCTTTTGCTGAAACATTGGTTGATTATTGTTGCCCTCAAATTTTTGTTACCATAAAATTGATAAGCATGGTAGAATAAATCACAAGGCAAAGATTTTCATAACATTCCTCAATCAATGAATATAATTGATAAGAACTAGAAGTATTTTGACCCATTTCACCCCACTCTTGCTAACCCAGCTTGTAGCTTGTGCATTCTTCCAACCCCACATCATCATATCTTTATGATTAAAAAAAAAATCTCTTTTTCATCTCTTACTCTATTTTTATTTTCTCTTTTTTCTTTTTCACTCCATTATCAAATAAAGTTGAGTGCCATCCAAATCCAACCAAAAAATATATTTTTTTTATTTAGGGAAAATTATAATATTTTCTAAAGGTAGCACCTATAATAAAAAATAAAAAAAAAATACAATTTTTAAATATTGCAATTATGAAGTGTTAACTTTCATCTAAATATAAACATTTCTAAACATATCTAACTATACCCATCTCACCAAATTTCATCCACTTTATAATTATATATATACCAAAAACAACACAAAACAAACAAATACAGACTTAACTTACTCTAAACGGGCTCCAATCCAATACTCCCAAAAAAAAAACTAAATAATCAAGAAGAAAATAACTGCAACAAAGGCGGTCGGACTCCATAAGGAGAACTATCAGCTATCCTCTTCTTTCTCTTCTGAAGAAACCGCTGCAGCGATCTCTTCATCGATTGTCCCGGATTCATCACTCGCACAGGCGGCAACGCGCCAGATCTCATCTCCTCCCCCGCTTCTCCTCCTCCCCTCTTCTCCTCCATCTCCAACTCCTTCTTCGCCATCTCTAGAATTGCTCTCGCCTGCAACTCCGTTACGTCGGAGATGGAGACACGGCCGTTGTAAAAGATTGTCATTTGTTGCCGCGGGTGATCGCCGGAGTTGGAGCAGAGTCCGAGCTGGAGCTCCATGAAACGACTAGCTTTCTTCCTGAATGAGTCTCTGAAAGGTAAGGTGAGGCGAATTGAGGATGTGAGGGAAGGAGAATTGGGCTTCTATGTTTATATAGCTGGTATATGTGGAGGGAAAGGTGGGAGGGGAAATAGGCACGTGTAGCACGCTTATGTTATGCGATATCGAAAGCATGCGGACCAGGTTGGCTCACTTGGACAAGTCGTCGCGAGGGGACCATCCGCGCGCGTTTTTTTTGTTTCGGATGGACGTAGCGCAATTCTTGTTGATTTCTAAACTTGGTATAAATGTAAAAAATAAAGTTTAGATTTTAAATATTTAAATAAAAGAGTTGTTGTATGAATGTAATTTTTTTTTTTTTTGGATTTATATATATATAACACATATTTTTTTATTATTTACATATTTACTTCTAAATATTTATGTTTATGTGCATTGAGCTCAAATATTTAATAAAACGTAAAAAATATCATTATTTTTATTTTGCTAAAAGTGAATCATGCAAAAATTTCTTACACCACATATTATAATTGTAAATAATAAATAGTATGTGTTAGACATGTAAATACATGAAAATTGAGTGATATGTGATCTGCCTCGAGCAAATCTCAATCATCCGACACAAATCTCAAGGCATAACATATAGCTTGAAGCAACTTTTTTGAGTAATGAATATTCAAATCTCAATTGAAATTTATCTAAAAGTCGTATTTCAGCAAACTTATAGTCAAACTGACCGGCTCGACAAGAAGAACTCAATGTATCAAAATTAGTCTAATCTGAACCAAATTAAACCTAGATCAAGCCATTAAACCACTTTAGAAGTTTCTGGATATATTTAGAAGGTCAAACGAATGTTGACTCTGACAAATCTATAGTTAAATTGAGTGCCTTGACAAGACGAAACCAATGAGCCCAATATAACTCAATTCTAACATCATTAAAGCACTCAAATGCTCATCAAATATCGTCTGATTGAGGAAAGTCCTATGAACCGCCTGATCAAAGTGGTTAATATTTCTGCATTAATTGCACTCAGAACTTTTAAATAGAGCCCCACCATTCTCATGAGGGGAGAATGAGAGCTTGAGGTTTGAGAAACAATTTGAAGTTTTGAGATGAAAATGAAGTTTAACACCACTTCTGTTGTCGTCGACCATCACCAACCATCGTCGACCACCATCGAACATAGTCGACCACCACTGACGGTCGTCGACAACCATCGACAGCTATCGAGCACTCCTGTCGTCGTCGACCATCGCCGACCACCATTGACAACCACTAATCTCGTCGAACACCGCCAACAACCGTCAATCACTACCAACCATCGTCGACCACCACCGACCGGACGCCGCCAATAACTATCGTTCTCCACCAGCCGACATTGTAACTTGTTAAATCTAGTAACCCTTTCTCACCTGTGGGATAAGTTGTTGCAACTCTAATTATTTTTTTATAGCGAGACTCTTCAGTTGGGTTAAGCTCCTAGAAGGTATAAGCCTAATAAGGCACAAACCTCAGAAGATATATGTCTAAGGGGATACAAATGTCAGAAGGCATGAGTCTAAAAGATACAAGATTTTTTTTTAAGTGCATGCACTAACTTTAATTGCAAAATTTTGCACGATTGAGAAACCACAACATTACAAAAAGAGGGTAAATCACAATTAAGAAGCAACATTAAAAATTTTATTACTTCAAGCTAAACATATAGACATACACCTCATCATCATGACAAATGCCACATCAGGTAAATAAATGGCTACAATAAATTAGCTCATCTTCGAGTGGAGTCGGCATTGCCTCCCTAAAATTCCATTACTTATGCCGCTCTTCAGAGGTTCTCCAAATATCACCACCATAGAATCATGGAAAATCTCCTCCTCAAAGTGCGACAGAAAAACTCCATAATTTATTCATCTCCATTGGAATACACATCAACAACAAGTAGAAAGATCCCGAGTAATCTGCTGTGTAGGGACAGTGATAGCTTTCTTCATCTCAGCGAAGTGAAATAAGATCTAGTTGCTTACCTGCTACGCAGGATAAAGACGACTTTCCTCTATGTCTCAACGCAAAAGAATATCATATTGCCCATCTGCTACACAGAATAATAATAACTTTCTCTTACACCACAATGCGAAAGAAGATCTCATAGATCGTCTACTATGCATGACAGAGACAACTTTCTTCTGCACCGCAACATGAAATAAGATATTATTGATCACTTGCTATACAAAATGAGGACATATTTCTTCTACACCACAAACTGAAAGAAGATATCATTAATTGGATGCTACACTGGACGCGAACTATTTTCCCCTTCATAGCAACATGAAAGAAGGTATTGTTGATCGTCTGCTACACAAGACAGAGAAAGATTTCTTCTGTAATGCAATGTGAAAGAAGATATTGTTGATCCTTTGCTACGCGGAATGATAAGAACTTTCTTCTTCACCACAATGCAAAAAAAAATATATCGTTGATCTTCTACTACGCGGGTAGGGAATGAATTTTTTCTTCTGGGAAATCTAAAATCACATGCTAGTTAGAGATGGGGACTCCAACTCCATCATCATCTCTTTTGTTTATTTATAGATTTAAAAATCTATCATACTGATGACAAAAAAAAATAACTAAAGATAAAAAATATAAAAAATAAAAAAAAAAAAAGTTGAAATTTGCATTAATTTATTGTCTTTCTGCCTTCCGCCTTATTTCGTTTTCCTCATTTCATTAAAAAAAAAATAAACCCTCATACATACGATTAAAAATAGCTATACATGCTCCCGCCCATGTGATATATAAATGCAAATGCTGCTTGCCGTTCCCACGGCGTGGGTCCGGCCAGCCCACCAAAACTTAGGGACTCAAAAGGCAAGGCAACACGGCCACACGAACGAATGCTCTCACCAACTGTGGTACACAAATAGGGCTGTCAAAAGGGTTAGTTGTTCGTTAAAAATCTCGTATTCGGTTCATTAAAAAGTTCGTATTCGACTCGTTCGATAAGTTAACGAGCCGAATGTGAACAACATGAATAAACATTTGTTCTTTCGTGTTCGACTCGTTTTGACTCGAAATTATATATATATATATATATAATCCAAATTTATATATGAAATAGATATATGTATATAAATTATAATAATTTTGAGTTTTTTCTCCTCTCTACTCCACATTTTAATACTTTTGGGCGATAAAATTGGACATCAACAAATTTGCAATTAAGAATCATTTGGAGCTCTTATTCCAACAAATATGATCAAACTAACTTATTCAACAAGATTGACCTAATGATATCAAAATTGGTTCCATCCAAACTAGATCAAGCCCCGATCAAGACGTTAAAACATGTTTGAAAGTTTTTTAAATGCATTTGGAAGATCAAACAAATGTCGAATCTGACAACCTTATGGTTGAATCGAGGATCTCTATAAGACGAATGCAACAAGCACAAGATCACTTAATTCTGACATCATTAATGTACTTAAATGTTCATCAAACATTGTTTGATCAAAGAAAACTTATTGGACCGTCAGATCAAAATAGTTTATATTCTTACAGTAGATGCACCCACAACTCTGTAAATGGAGCCCCACCCCTCTCTTGAGAGAGGAAGAGAGAGATTGAGGCTTGAGGAAGAGCTTGAATCTATGAATAGGAGTTGAAATCCAACATCACTCCTGCCACCATCGACCAACGCCGACCTACTGTCGAATAATTCATATTCTTACAGTAATTGCACCCACAACTTTATAAATGAAGCCCCACCCCTCTCTTGAGAGGAGAAGAGAGAGATTGAGGCTTGAGGAAGAGCTTGAATGTTTGAATAGGAGTTGAAGTCTAACATCACTTCTGCCACCATTGACCACCGCCGATCACAACTTGCTGACAGCTGCCTATCACCATTGATCGCCACCCATTTATTGTGATAAGTTCCTCCGCGCATAGACGTTGTAACTCATGAGACATTGTAACTTTTTTTTTTGTTTGTAAGACAATGAGTTGTACTTGTAGTATTCAATTTATTGTGAATATCTTCAACTGAGTTAAACCCCGTGATTTTTTTCCTTTACGAGATTTCAATGTAAAAATTTTCGGTGTCACTATTAATTATTTTCTTTTATCTGAGTATGTGTTGGATTCTCATGCAACGCCAAGACGATAATTTATTACTCTGCCACCGTCAATCTTCGAGCACACATCAACCATTATGTTGAAATACTATTGTACTTCAACTTTGTAATTACATCTTCCTAAACTCAAGAGAAGAGTAAACTATGTATTCACAATTATATAGTGAATTACTTCAATAGGGCTATACTCCTGATTTTTCTGCTTTCCAAGGTTTTCCAAATAAAAACTTCTAATGCTCATCAGTCACTTTAATTACTCAAATGCGTACTAGATTTTCATGTCGCTCTGAATCTTCCAGCACATATCAATCCATATTTGATATACGATTGAAAATATGTCCTTCACTTTCAAAATTAATTATAATACTTCTATGTGATTAGAAAGATTTAAATTTAATTAATATAAAAAGAAAATTGATATATATATATATATATATATATATGAGAGCATCACATGTTCAGATCAGTTGGTCGGACATCTGCTAGTCAGATGTAAGTCTCATCCAGTCTGAGGTTTGATCCCCCTGAATGTAGGGTGTGGTACTCGAATTCTTAGGCGCATGAGGGATGGTCGGGGCTCGTGTGGAAGCCTCTGACCATTTTTTTTTAAAGAATTTTGGGATTTGTATCTAGAAGCTCGTTTAATTCTATTTTATTCATTTAATACTTTTATATTTATTAAGAGACGTCACGCTTTGGTGCAAGTTAAACGTGATTATTGGGTGCTTAAGCTGAATATTAAAAGAAAAAATAAATTAAAATTAAATTTAAGCTGAAAAAACTGACAAATTCAAATCATTTGATTTTTAGTTTGCTAGGAGAAGCTTTAAATGTAAGGAATTGTTTTGGTTTTATTTAAGGTTAGGTTTGATTTGCTTATATATAAATTAAAATTAAAATTGAAATTAGAGAC